GAAGGGCGCAGTTTGTAAACAGCCAATGCCCTAACCATCTGCAGTACGCGTTTCCGACGGACAGTCTTGTCTTCTTCAAATGGGAGCTAATTTCCCGCCGAACCAACAAGTTACTGATATAGTAGGATGACTGTCCAAGTAGGTGTTCCTAAGCCAACAATTCAGGAGTGCTGGTGTCGAATTATAAGTGAAGCATCGACTGAAACACTGTTTCTGCTGCTGCTGCTGTTCCTCCCTCCCCCCACTCTTTTCTTTCTATCTCTTTCCCTCCCTCTAATATCATCCTCCTCTTCGTCTTCTTTCAGGCCGTATCCCATTGCCCTAAATGCAGACGTCCACTCCAGAATAATACGGCCCCGGAGCCCGCCCTAAGTGTAAGGATGGCCCGGAATATGAAGTGCCCTTCTTGCCATCCGGGTGTCACACTTGACAAACTACCACTAACCCGCAAATTAGTCTCACCTAGCAAGCCCTTAGATACGACGATATCGCGGGTAGATGGACTGATGGCTTGATGTTCACGCAGTTGATGTCGCAATAAGCTTGTTCTATGCTCTCCTGCCTGTCTTTATTCCTTACAGAAAATGGCGCCAATTTACTGGGAAATATAAGAAAGAAAAATTGTAACTTGTGCTACAGGGCTTCTACAAACAGTCTTGTTAAGAGCCACGATGGCCACCTTGTAACGAGCCAGTCCTCGAAATGTCCTTGATATTCTCCCTACTGGTCGGTAGGTCAGCGATTTTTCTCAAAGAGGATGATCATTTTGGGCTGCCAAATTACTGCACCTCACTCCGTTAGCCGCTAGTGAAGACATGATTGTCATTTATTCTAAAGTTTTTGCTGCACATTTTGCGCCCATAGGTCCCAGCCATCCTGCAGGCTGTGATTATCCATAATTTATGTAAGGCACGTTTCCTAGCCCCTTTCCCCACGAGAAGATTAGTACTACTATCCGTAAAGAGGGCTGCCATACCATCCAATACGGTTGCCGATTTCCATTATGGGTAATGATTTTTGTTTATTGGGAAGACGACCCGAATAAAATTGGTCCTCCTATGGGATCACTGTGATTCACCCGGTAGGACATTTTATGTTTGTGGGGAGAGAAGAGGATCGGAAAAATACTATTTAACACCTTTTCTTGGTTGTGTCCACCCGTAGAAGCGGTTATCGGGGTTGGGCTGCAGCTGAAATCTGGATGTCAGTTAATTGTCGTGTGGGGCAACCGTTGCAATCATACGAAATATATATTTAGGGCTTCATCGAATGACATCTTCATGTTTTGGTTTTTGCCATTTAGTCGGCTGTTCTACGCATTCGCCTGGGTTAGCTATGCTTTACAATCGCATTTCAACTCTTTTAGTGTGAATCTGACCTTTGTTTCTTCATTTTACGATAAAAAACAGATTGTCAAAGAGGCCCAGGCATTAGGCATGCTCAACCACCGCAACATTGTGAAGTTTTACGGTGTTTGTCACAGCCTCTTGACGGGCACCCTGGCGCCTGCGCTTGTCATGGAATTCGCCTGTGGTGGGCCACTGAACAAGGTGCTTGCAGAAAGACCACCTATTGGCCCATGTACCCTCCTCAACTGGTCCGTTCAGATCGCCTCCGGCATGCACTATCTGCACGAGAAGGTGCACC